CCCCCATGGCATCATCGCCGATATTTTCTTCACTTGGGTCAATGACGTTGCTACTAAATTTGGCATCCCCAAGCTGAATTTCCATGGTACTTGTTTTTTCTCGTTCTGTGCTATGGAGTTGTTGAGGATTCACAAGCCTTATAACCAGGTTTCCACCGATACAGAGCCGTTTGTCATTCCTCATCTTCCCGGGGAGATTACTTACACGAAATCTAAAATCCCCGTGTTCATGCGGGACGATGTCAAAAATGATATAACAGAGTTTTTTAAGAGGGCCCAACAGTCGGATTCCACGTCTTATGGGGTTGTTATGAACAGTTTTTACGAGCTGGAAGCAGAGTATGCTGATTGCTATAGAAATGTGTTGGGAAGAAAGGCGTGGCATATTGGTCCACTTTCGTTGTGCAATCAAGAAACTGAAGAAAAAACTGAGAGAGGAAAGGAATCCGCCATTGATGAACACGAGTGCTTGAAATGGCTCGACTCTAAAAAACCCAATTCGGTTGTGTATGTGTGTTTTGGAAGTTTGACGAAATTCAGCTCCGATCAGCTGAAGGAGATTGCAAATGGGCTTGAAGCTTGTGGGAAAGATTTCATATGGGTTGTCCCGAAAGTGGACGGAGAAGACAAGGAAGAGGATCAAAATTGGCTGCCGGAGGGGTTCGAACAGAGGATGGAAGGAAAAGGGTTGATTATAAGAGGATGGGCGCCGCAGGTTCTGATATTGGATCATCCGGCGATGGGTGGATTTGTGACACACTGCGGGTGGAATTCGACGCTGGAAGGGATAGCCGCCGGCGTTCCGATGGTGACATGGCCGGTGGCCGGTGAGCAGTTTTCGAACGAGAAACTAGTGACAGATGTGTTGAAAATAGGAGTTTGTGTTGGGGTTCAGAATTGGGTGAGAAGTTTGGGGGATCTCATCAAATGTGAAGCTGTGGAGAAGGCAATAAGGAGAGTTATGGAGGGGGAAGAAGCAGACGAGATGAGAAACAGAGCTAAAGAATTGGGAGAGATGGCGAAGAGAGCCGTTGCTGAAAATGGATCGTCTTATTCCGATTTAGATGCTTTGATAAAGGAAATGAAATTGTTGGCGTTTTGAAGTTTATTTAGTTTGCTTATTACCCGATTTCCGGGAATTGATATTCCTTCCCCTTTTTATGTCCGTCTTGTTTATGTCTTATCTTGGCTTCAATGCACTTTCGTAGTGTGTTATATGATGCATCCTCCTCCTTAAGTTTCTAAGTTTCAGGGTCTCGGTCATGCCTATTAATGTATGAGGGTCACCAACCTATTATTTTCTTAGTATACTTATGAATTACTGCCTCACTTAAACTAGTGATCGTGTTCGATAATTCTTTCAGTAATAGAATCGCACCTTAGATTGTGATGAAAAGCATATGGAAGTGATGGAAGTGATGATTCTCAGAGCGAGGTTGGTGCAGATTGTCTGATCTTTTGTAATTCTTAGTATGCTCTGTGGTTTCAGCGCTGTCTGATCTTCCACATCAGAAACGATTTCTTGAGATTATTAGTGAGTTCATTTGTCTTATAAGTAGTCGATGAATTTGCAAGTTTTGTGTAAAAAAGGCTTGTTTGGTATTATTGAGATCTTATCAACACCATGGATGATTTACAAATCGTTCGAGGAATTAAGAAACTCAACAACAACTACAATAAGTGAACAACATGCACGATGTCTTATTTACAATACCATGACATTTGGGAGATTGTTGGCAAGAATGAAACTACGCCGCTAGAGGAGGATTCTAACGGAGAATCAAATCAGGCAAAACAATGTTTACCTTGAAGACCACAGTTGAAGAAGAGTTGTTAGACTACATTTAAGATGACAAGACACCAAAAGAAACATAGGACACGTTTGTGATGTTGTTGTCAAGGAAGAATGACACGAGGCTACAACTTCTGGAGAACGAGTTGTTATCAATTTCACAACGTGACATGACAATTTTTCAATACTTCCACAAATCAAGTCAATCTGCTGAGAGATTACTGAACCAGCTTCAAAGTCCGCAATTGAAAAAGTTCAAATGAAGAGGATGATTATCCACGAATTGCGGCCAGAATATAGAAGCTTCTTATTACTATACAAGGATCATCAGATCAACCATCACTTGCTAAGTTTGAAAATTTGTTAGCGATGTAATTTGTTAGTCAAGAAGCCATGGCTAAACAAATGGGAGGAATCACAAGCCATGACTAAGAAGCACTCTATACTGGCGACAAATGAATAAGCCATCAAGGAACTACACAATCAGGTAGAGCTCATCCTCTAACATGGAGATGGAGGAGGAATGAGATGTAGAGGCAATATGTATCATATAAGAAAATGCACTAGTGCTCGTGACAATGATGAGAGAACATATTGAGTACGAGGACCGAAAGTGTGTACCAAAAGGATTCGAATAGAGGATGGAAGGAAAAGGGTTGGTTATAAGATGTGGGCGCCACAAGTTCTGATATTGGATCATCCGGTAGTGGGTGGATTTGTAACACACTCCCGGTGGAATTCGACGCTGGAAGGGGTAGCCACTGACGTAACATGATACGAAATAAGATGATAATAAAGTTTGGATACCGTGTACACGCTCAAAAGATCGAATTTGGATCAACTTAATTACAAATTCCTAGACAAGATGATAATAAAGTTTTTATTTTTTGAATTAGTTTCATTCTATTGAAAAATGATATAATTTATCGAATATAATATCAAAATTAATATATTATATATAACGGTTCATATAATATATATATATATATATATATATATATATAACTTGGAGATGACGCATACGTGGCTCTCAAGTTTAAGACTTTTCAAATTTATTTATATCACTACTCTACTTCCAAGACCTCAGTCATTGGTCAGCCTACTTGGCGTGACGTAATTGATTACGTCATCAAAATTGACCTTTACTAAAGTAATTTTATATTTATATCTTTACACAGTTTATTTCAGTCAACTCAAAATAATAATAATAAAAGGAATATATATATATATATATTATAATTGAACTCTAAGTTAATAATTTTAATAAAATAAAGTTTAGCAGACAAATTGATATGAATGAAGAGATATCAATCATACAATATATTTCAATAAAAATGTCAAGAAAATATTGTTGGAATTATCAAAAAATATTTCAATTCATGCCACGTTAAAGAAGAATGAAGTTTCATGTGGACTACAATTTAGAGTAATTTAGAGTTATTGTATTTGATTAATGTATTTTAAGATTTTTATTTATTTTAGGTTACAGTTACATAATAGTTAATTATGGTCATTAAGTATAAATGTAACAACTCTTGGAATGTCTTTAATAGTTAATTTTGAGGCTATACGTATTTGGTAAGTAAACTGGGAAAATGTAGTAACAAAAAAAAAAAAGCATTTGTGCTTTCTTTAGCCAATGACCAAGTTTCTTTGCAATTCTATGAAGTTCAGGTTGCATGTAGAATCATTCAAGCTCAACATGATCAATCTTGCCTGTGGAGTGATTCGAATCTCAAACAAGTGTTCTTGCGCTAAGATATTTGATCAACAAGAATCATTCAAACTCGATCTTGCTTGAGGAGTGATTCGAATCTCAAACAATGTTCTTGCCTTGAGATATTCTATCAACAAGCTAATTCGAATCTTGCTCCCCTTGTAGTGATTTCCACATATAAAAAAAAAATGTCATTTTTCTCCATCGATTTTAAATTATACATATATTTTATAAATAAAAATATAATAATGTATTATTGGCTCATTTAAATAATATTAGAATTTAGACCCAACAATATGTTGATCAATTCAAAAGTGGGTCCTACCTTAAAGTAAATTAGGTTAATGTTGATGATTTTAATTTGAGTTGACAATTGATGTTTAACCTAACCAAAGATTAATCTAAATACGATGATTAATTATAAATATAGATAATTTCAAATTTTAAAATATCAATAATATATAGACTTTGAATTAAAAAAGCTATGAAATCAAAGACAAAATAATTTTGTATAGCTTATTTAGATGCTTTGAATAGTGACATAAAAAATTAATAATCTCATAAAATTCTAAAATTTATTATTTCGTGTAGACCAAGGGACAATATCACGTGTCTTAGTCGGCTGTTTCAACCATTTTTGTTCTAAAAATATTATATTATAAAACAACCTTAAATAAATACATATATTTTTACAATTAAATTATATCATATTTATACCATTTTTAATATTTGCCCATACATTAATCGATGAGAAATTAAAGAACAAATTAGTGGGATACACGTGTAAGTTAATGACATGAGGTTAAAATGATTTTTTCTACGACATAGGTGTGCCGGTACGTGCCAGCCCATGTGTCGGAGGTTGGATTTTGCACCCACTACTCGGTACGGTATGTGTAAATGACATGACATGGGCATGGGATGGATGGATGGATGGATGTTCGTGATGTCTTGAGATTATGAAGGACATGTGGACCTATTTTTTATGACATGACTGAGTAAGCTACGATAGCCCCAATACCCAATGACATGGGATGACGTTAAGACATATGGGTCATGCTCCTAGGAAACTAAGATGATGTTGGATGTGATGCTGTGTTGAGAGACCTTGGTCTTGAGTAGAGGCAAGATCGAGTTGGATGAGTTAGTGAGTGGAGAAGCAAGTTGGTTGTATTGTAGATGATTGAACATGCACGCGCCCAGGCAGTGTGTGTGGCCAAACAAGCTTGGGTTCTGCACAGAGTGATGTTATGTTGGCTAAGACAAATATCGTATAAAAGGTTTGATGAAGCCACAAACTTGGTATTTCCTCAAGGCTGGTCGTAAGCGTGTCAATATCACGACGCCACACGATTAAGAAAATAGGATCGTGACAATAACTCACCACAAAATTGCAAACGACAGGTAAATTAAAATATCTCGATTATTATTAATAAGAGAAAAAAAGAAAAAGAAAAAAGGAAGAACATCACGATCACAGCTTCAATATATATGTCCACTTTCCTCTTCATTTTTTTCTGCAACTTTTCCTCTTCATTTCTATCATTTCCACAGGCATCAAAATGGGTACTCAGCTCCACATGTTCTTGTTCCCTTTGATGGCTAGCGGACACATGATTCCCATGGTCGACATGGCCAAGTTGCTTGCAGCTCGCGGCGTCAAGGTCACCGTCGTCACGACCCCTCTCAATTCCATCGCCATCTCTAACTCAATCCACACTTCCAAATCCCTCTCTGTTTCAAACATTCATCTTCTCATCCTCAAATTCCCCTCTGCCGAAGTGGGTCTGCCGGAAGGTTGTGAAAATGGCGACTCTGTTATCGGTCCCGCCATATTACCCAAATTCATCTCTGCTTTGAATTTGCTCCAAACCCCATTTGAGGAGGCTGTAATGGAACACCGCCCCCATTGCATCGTCGCCGATATTTTCTTCCCTTGGGTCAACAATGTCGCTGCTAAATTTGGCATCCCCAAGCTGGGTTTCCATGGCATTGGTTTTTTCCCGTTCTGTGCTATGGAGTTCGTGAGGATTCACCAGCCTCATAACCATGTTTCCTCCGATACAGAGCCTTTTCTCATTCCTCATCTCCCCGGGGAGATTTCTTTCACGAAATTGAAACTCCACGAGACCATGCGAGAGGATCTCAAAAATGATTCGAGCGATTTTTTGAAAAGGGCTCAAGAGGCAGAGTCCACGTCTTATGGGGTTGTTATGAACAGTTTTTACGAGCTGGAGGCAGAGTATGCTGATTGCTATAGGAATGTGTTGGGAAGAAAGGCGTGGCATATTGGTCCACTTTCGTTGTGCAATCAGGAAACTAAAGAAAAAGCTCATAGAGGAAAGGAATCCGCCATTGATGAACACGAGTGCTTGAAATGGCTCGACTCCAAAAAACCCAATTCGGTTGTGTATGTGTGTTTTGGAAGTATGGCGAAATTCAGCTCCGATCAGCTGAGGGAGATTGCAAATGGGCTTGAAGCTTGTGGGAAAGATTTCATATGGGTTGTCCGGAAAGTGAACGGAGAAGACAAGGAAGAGGATAAAAAATGGCTGCCGGAGGGGTTCGAACAGAGGATGGAAGGAAAAGGGTTGATTATAAGAGGATGGGCGCCGCAAGTTCTGATATTGGATCATCCGGCGGTGGGTGGATTCGTGACACACTCCGGGTGGAATTCGACGCTGGAAGGGGTGGCTGCCGGCGTTCCGATGGTGACGTGGCCGGTGGCGGGGGAGCAGTTTTACAACGAGAAATTAGTAACAGAGGTGTTGAAAATTGGAGTGGCTGTTGGGACTCAGAAATGGGTGAGAATTGTGGGAGATTTCGTTAATGGAGAATCTGTGGAGAAGGCGATAAGGAGAGTAATGGAGGGGGAAGAAGCAGAGGAGATGAGAAACAGAGCTAAAGAACTGGGAGAGATGGCTAAGAGAGCCGTTGCTGAAAATGGATCGTCGTATTTCGATGTAGATGCTTTGATTAAGGAATTGAAATCATTGGCGGTTTGAACTTCACTCTGCTTGTTCATTGGAGTTCCAAAGGCTTTAAATTTTCTATTTTAAATAAAGAATAAAAAGAAAAAAAATGTAATAGTTTCAGTGCGCATTTAATATTATAAATTATCTTATTAAAAGCAGGAGTGTAATAGAAGAGGTGACAAACTTAAAGATATTCACACCAGATGAAGCTTAGAGGAAGATGTGGTCAAAAAAGAAGCAGAGATGTTAGCATGTCATTAGATTTAGTTATAGATCGATTATGACAACCACTTCACTTCAACGCATTATGAGGATAACAAATAAACTTTGGGTTCAAGTAGCATTTCACTCCTTAATATTCTTCGTCCCGATCTCCGGCATTCAATCCTACCAAATATTCGCCCCGCCTACTATTATAAATAAATAGTAATAAAATTATGGGACAAAATGATATGTTTTGTCATTATCTAGAAACATGTATTCACTCGCTTGAATTAAGCTTTAAGCACTCATGAATTAGAACTATTTTATTTATGTCCATGTTCGTGATAGAGTTTGTTCCTGTCCAATATACTTTTTTCCCGTGATTTATTTCTTTTTTTTATTTCAACCAAAAAAAACCTCATCCGATTAAAAATATATATATATTTTTTTTTGTAAGCTAAATACCAATTGTCTTTAAATAATTATATTTTAATTTACTTAGTCAATACATGTGTTCTTATGGTCCATCTTTCTAGTGGCAATTGTCATGTCCCTTTTTTGTTTGTTCTTTTTAATGTTTTTTTTCCTTTTTTTTTAGAAAAATCTTTTTAATTTATAAATCTAATTTTATCAATTTATTTTCAACTAAAAATTGAGAATTTAAAATATTAAAATAGGCAGACAAAAATATTATCCATTCAAATGAAAAAGTACAAAAAGAAAATCTAAACCAACTAATGGGGGATGACATGAACACGGCCGTCGCCGTCGCCGTCGTACTTGAGAACGAATCTAAAACGCCAACGATTTCAGCTCCTCAATCAACGAATCCAGATTCCGGTACGATGATCCGTCGTTCCCGACGGCCTTCTTCGCCTTCTCTGCATTCTCTGCTGCTCTGTTTCTCATCTCACCACCTTCTTCATCTTCCATTACTCTCCTTATTGCCTTCTCCACAGCTTCCCCTCCGATGAAATCTCCGACACCAGGCACCCATTTCTGAACCCCGACAGCGACCCCTGTTTTCAGCACCTCTGTCACTAATATCTCATTGTAAAACTGCTCCGCCGATACCGGCCATGTCACCATCGGAACGCCGGCGGCAACCCCTTCCAGCGTCGAATTCCACCCGCAGTGTGTTACAAATCCACCCACCGCCGGGTGATTCAATATCAGAACTTGCGGCGCCCATCCTCTTATAATCAGCCCCTTTCCTTCCATCCTCTGTTCGAACCCCTCCGGCAGCCAATTTTGATCCTCTTCCTTGTCTTCTCCGTTCACTTTCCGGACAACCCATATGAAGCTTTTCTCAGAAGCTTCAAGCCCAATAGCTATCTCCTTGAGCTGAGCAGAGTTGAATTTCGCCAAACTTCCAAAACAGATATACACAACCGAATTGGATTTCTGGGAATCGAGCCATTTCAAGCACTCGTGTTCATCAATGGCGGATTCTTTTCCTCTCTGCGAAATTTCACGAGCTCCATTGTTGCATAATGAAAGTGGACCAATAGGCCATGCCTTTCGTCGCAATACATCTCTGTAACAATCGACATACTCTGTTTCCAGCTCGTAAAAACTATTCACAACAACCCCATAGCAATACGATTCCGATTCTTTAACCTTGTTGAAGAATTTACTAAATTCAGTCTCGGTATCTTCCCGAACGATTGAAGGGAGTTTCATCTTCGTTATCTTAATATCTCCGGGGAGATAAGGAATGAGAAAAGGCTCTGTTTCCGACGAAACATTCTTTTCAGGCTTGTGAAGTCTAATGAAATCAGAAGCACAAAGCGAAAAAGCACCAGTCCCATGAAAAATCAACCTGGGGATGCCAATTTTCGCGGCGAGATCATTAGTCCAAGGGAAGAACATGTCAGCAACGAGGCAATCAGGGCGGCTCTGAAGCAGAGCCTGCTCAAAAGGGGCTTGAAGTAAGGTGGAAGCTTCGAAGAATTTGGGGATATAATCCGGACTTGGAAGGGAATCAGCGTTTTCGCAAGTATCCGGAAGGCCCACTTCAGCAGCAGGGAATTTGAGGACAATCAGCTCAATCTGTGAAGCGAAATTTTGAAGCGATTTGGAGATGGAGATGGAGTTGAGAGGGGTGGTGACAATAGTGATCTTGACGCCGCGAGATACGAATAGCTTGGCCATATCGACGAAGGGGATCATGTGGCCGTGAGCCATGAAGGGGAACAAGAAGATATGGAGCTGTCGAGGTTCGCTTCCCATGGCGGATAAAGAGTTGCAGAAACAGAGGATGAAGATGAAAAACAGAGTGGGGATTTGGGAGAATTTATAATAGGAAATAGAAGCGAAAGATGAATGGAATTCTTCGATCCCATAATTCTAATATAATTTATAATCGCGGTTAATGGAAGTATCTGGATGGAACTCAAAACTTATCTTAATTAAATCCAATATTGTAAAAAGAAACAGAGTATAATTTTTTATTTGTAAACAACGTCTGAGGAAGGTTCATAAAATTCAATCACCACATTTGAAGAGTAATAAGAATAATGGAGGAAAAGAGTAAGCAGTTGCGTCATGAAATTCAATCACCACATTTTGGCTTCTAAATACTTGGACTTCATATGCTGACGAACGCGCTTTCGACTTCTACAACAAAACCTCCACGCATGTGCTTTTACCCAATATACCTCCTTTTTCTTCTTCCCAATTTCATTTCAAATTCGTATTGGATCTCATTTTCATTTCTCCATTAGGGTTTTTCTTTCTTCTTCTCACACCTTTTGCATTTCTTCTCCATATCTCCTTCTTATTAGGAATCACCCATGGTTATGGTAATGGTGATATTGTCTTTTTTATTAGGAATCACCCATGCTGATGTGATATTGTTTATGTTGAATATGAGCACTTGTGGTTTTACTTGCTTTACAAACTCATGATCATTCTCAACCCTCTTCATACTTTTTTTTTTTTTTCATTTATTTTTTTTTCATTTATTCTGAGTAGTTATTAATGATGTCTAGGATTATAATGTTCCTTTGCACATTTTTGTATTTGGGTGTAACACCGAACATTATTTATAAGAGTGAAAATCTTCCCCATTATTTATAAGAGTCTGAAAATCTTCCCTAGTAGTATGTAACGAGCCCAAGTCACTATTAACGGTGGGTTTGTGTTGTTAGGTCGAGTTTCTAAGTCCAAGTCAACAATATTGGGTATGTATTGTTAGGACAATATTGGGTATGTGTTGTTAGGTCGAGTTTCTGAGTGTCTAAGCCCAAGTCAATAATATTGTTAGGGTTTGTGTTGTTAGATTGAGTTTCTTCCCATTAATTCTTAGTGTTTTTTTGTTCATATATACATGATGATCTATTAAAAAAATTGCCGTGGAAGCGTAAGCCCCGTTCTGTTAACACCCCGGGTAAGGGGCGAGTGAATATCTGTGAAACGCGGCCAGCTATTATTCGGTGCCAATGGGCTCAAGACTCCACACGTGTCTCAGCCTCTCGCTATGAGCATTGCGAGGGCCCATTGGGCTACCGAAGTAACCCGTTTCCGGGTCAGCATCTCTGCAGGGGACGGCCCGGGGACTTTCCTGAGCCTAATGATCCAACTGGATCAATTAGCCCTATCACTCCGTTCCGCGGCTTGTTGACTGCTCATTTGAAATTACGCTCTATATTAAAGCGCGCACTGCATAAACTTTTCGATGTGGGTCAAAAAACACTTGCGTTCCAAAGCAATAATTTAATCTCTTAATTTGTTTAGGGTTTTAGCATTTGTATTTTCAATTTTATAATAAATTTTATCTCTCAACTTCCTCTTTAATTTAAAATTTATAACTTATTGATCAATAAACTAATAAATGATTAAATGGTATCATAAGTTACAAAAATTAATACTTAATTTTAATGAAAATTTTACCATACAAAAAAATTAAATTAGAACGTGAACTAAATTTGTATATACTAATTTCAAAGAAATAAGTTTTGTGAATTTAAAAAGATTAATTTGTTTAACTTGATTAAATAAATATTAAATAAACATGAAACGTGATTGCGGTCGAGTTAAAGATAAATGCTTATACTGTTAAAATCTTAAACTATGATTAAAAGGGGTGATTTGAAAATTATAACATGATAAATCATAATTAAAGAGACATGAAAGTGATTGAGTTGAATGGCCAATTAATGTCCGGCAAGCATGGAGCATTATGATGTGCAAAACCCAATGAAATTAGGATGGGAAATGAATGCAAATGCCTCCCAAAAGATACAGATCAATATTAGTTAAATTAATAAAAATACATCTAATTCGATTTAAAAAATATTTTTAGATTTTAAAATTTTCAATAATATTTTTCAACTTTAAAAAATTTCAAATATACTCTTACCATCCGTTTTAAATTAAAACGGTTAATATTTTATAAAAAAAAATTACTATTTTTTAAATATTTAAAAAATATCTAGAAATTATTTCACATATTAATGGTACAATTAGTTTCTTCAAATTCTAATGTCTCCACTAATTTGTGTCTTAATTTTGGATTTTAGCAATAAATAAATAAATAAATAAATATATATATATATATATATATATATATATCATTGAAATGTCAAATTCATAAGGGCATTAGGTCAATTTTTGTTTTTGTTTTTATTTATTTATTTATTTTTTTTGTCTTAAACCCGATTCTTTTTAGGATAGATATGACGTTACACGTCTTTTAAAATATACATTTTAAATCATATATGCATATTCTTATAATATCTATTTATTTTAATATTTTAAATTTTTTTATAAATTCCTTCGAGAGAAAAAATAATAATTATTTAATTTAAAATTATCAGAGTATTTTGAGTATACATTCATCATCATAACCTCGAGAATACATGTTTAGACAATTTGTGGTTTAAAATAAGTTGGTAGGGCGAAGATCACAAATCTTAAACCTAACGAACGAAAGTGAGCGGAAATTTGAATCGTAGACTGTGGAAGGAAGGTTCGTCTCCATTTAAAAGGAATAGGAAAAACACGTGGAGTTCCCTACACCATTTAAAGTGAAATGAAAGATTGGAATCCAGCCCTATAAAAGGTTCATACTATTTTAGTTATTATTTGTTTTATAATTAAAAGGCTAAATTATTATATATACCCATAGGAAAATTATATATAATAATTAAAGCTATTTATTTCTGTATTTCTTAATTAGTAACGAATAATTGTGAAATGATTGGACTGTGTTGCCTCAATAATAGTAATAATAATATTTATTATTATTATTATTTGTGTGTAAAATGTTTTTCTCATTTAATTCAGTTTAAGTTAATGAATTTTCAAAATATGTCGGTTCCCTTTTTTTTTTTTAATAAAGTTTTGCCCTTTCAACTTGTATCATTTTCCCACTAAATTAATACAAATAATCTTAAAAATATGTGTTTGATTTAAAAAAAATACTTTTAAATTTTTTTTAAAACTTTAAAATTTTAATTAAAAAATACCCATAAAATTTTAAATTATTTTCGAAAGTTCATGAATATTTTTGAAACGTTGTACGAACCGTAAATATATTTATGAATTTTTAACAAATTTGAAAGGTATTTTTGAAGTTTTTAAAAAAATTTACTGAGTATTAACCCAACTTTATAAATTCACGAGTATTTTTTTTACAATTTTAACTGTAACTGTATTTTTTTTTATTTTTTAGCGGTATTTTTCAATTTTTTTTAAATAAAGTTTTTTTTTTTTTTCATTTTGAAATGTAATTGAAAATTAAAAAGTGTTTTAAAAAGTAATAAAAAAAAATAGAAAATGAGAGAGAGAGAAAAAAAAAGAATTATTTAAAATGGAATAAAAAAGAAAGAAACGTGAGGACATTAGTGAAGATTTGAATAATAAAGGCAGAATCAAACAGATTTAATGCGAATAATAGCGTATCACATGACACTAAAATTTTGATGTGTTATTTAGACGGGACACCGCTGCGGCCGGTAAATGCGCTGTTCTTTAACTATAATTTCATTATTGTAACTACCTTGTTTTGTCTCCTTGTCCCTCTTAACTTAGAAAACGATATCATTTATAATATTATTTAAATATAAATTAATGTGTAAAAACTAGAAAATAAAATAAATAGTTCTAACCATCTTGATTTTAATATATATATGTGTGTGTTTTCTATATATTAATTTTAAAATAAAATTTAATATTATAATATATTATAATTATTATTTTGGAGTAAAATATAACAATTTAACAAAAGGAAAAAAAGAGAGCGAAAAGTTATTCAAATTATTCAAATTATTCAAATTATGACCTTTTAGACGAGACAAAGGGCAGGAAAGGTCAAATCACATCACGTTCCTTCCAGTCCTCTATCAGTATCTGAGAGTCAAAAGGTAATATTTGAAAGTGAATTTCCCAAAATACCCTCCCACCTTAAACTCCTCCATAACGCTACATTCTTTTGACTCCCACCAGAATTTCTTCCTAATTTTCCGCTTTTATTTATTTATTTTATTATTATTATTTTTAATGGTTACCCCTTAACAAAATCAGCTACCAGTCGTTCATTGTATTCCGGAACGTATAACTCTACCCATCACGACATTTTAACTTCATGCTACAGACGTTTATAAAAGTATCACGGTCGTTACGTCTTTTACCAATGTCGTCTCTTCAAACTTTCTCCCAACCGTCATTGCGGATAACAACACCAAAGACGAAGAGAAGGACAAACGTCCATTTGGACTTACCTTTTTAGATTTGGTTCATAGGTGATTTAATTATCGACATATGTCTTATGTTATTTAAAAACAATTAATAAAATATCACAATTCAAACAAGTTGCTTGAAAACATATATATAATCTACACTTGGGAATGGGTCAATAAGGTTTAATTATTTTAAGTATTTATTTATTTACTTTTACTCCAACTTCGTCAATTGTTTATTACCACTACAAACAATTGGCATAAAAGATATAAATTTTTGTATTTGATTTATTTTTCCGGTTAAATTAATAAAAAATATTCTTAAAATTTTTAATTTATTTAAAAAATACTCGTAAACTTTCAAAATGTTATAGTTTTAAAAATTTAAAGGATATTTTTTAATCCTTCGAAAATTACATAATTTTATTTAAAAAATTTAAAGTATATTATTGAAATTTTGTTAGAGTCAAATATATTGAAATTTTTATTAGTTTACTTTTATTTTTTTTCATAAATTATGTGTACTTGATTTATATATAATATTGAAACGCATGAGTTAGGATGGGCAATAAAACCTATATTTTTAGGTAATTAATTAAAAATGCTGTTCAAAATTATATATAATTGTTAAAATAAATATTGAGCAATTAATGACAAGGACATTTATTGACTTATTTTATTTTAATTTTTTTACTTCATTAATATGAATTTCCATGCTTTATACTTGATGTCGTATTTTCCTTGTCACACGAGCCTAGAATATTATTAAATTAATTAATTATTTTTAAAATAAGCAAAAATAATAAACTATTTTTTAAATTCCATGATTAAATCTCTCTTATAAAACTTATTTTCTTTAAAATAATATAATAATGAGGAAAAACCCTTTGCATGTGAAAAATTAAATTAAATCATTTAATATATATTTTAAAATTTTAAAAAACGGCCATTTATCACCTCTCGTACCTTCACTTCTTTTAGAAAATAAAAAAATAATAAAAAAAATTCGTCGTCTGAGACTCACGCGCCTCCCCAGTCCGTGATTCCTCCACCTTAAAAATACAAATCGAAACTTCTTTTCTCCGTTCATTTCCCATTTCTTCTTCGTTCCAAAATCAAACCAAGCTCCACCGCCATGAAATCCGCCGCCAACGCCAAGCTCATCCTCCTCCACCCCTCCATCCACAAACAAGGCCTCGCCGCCCCCACCGCCGCTACCGGCGGAGCTGCACTCACCCCTCGCCGCTGGCTCTTCTCCTTCCTCACCTTCTTCACTCTCGTCTTCACTCTAACCCTCATTAACTCCACCTTCTCCGCTGCCGACCGCCGCCGCTCTGTCGGCAGCCCCGCCGACTCCCCTGTTCTCCCCCAACCGATTTCCGCAGCCCTCATCCACTACGCCGCTGTCGATACAAACTCCACTAAACCCCACATGACCACCGCCGAGCTTTCCTCCATCGCCGCCGCGCTTTCCCCTTGCTCACCGGCGTGTAATTTCTTAATCTTCGGTTTAACCCACGAATCCCTCCTCTGGCGCGCACTCAACCACGGCGGCGTTACTGTCTTCCTCGACGAAAACGAGTTCCATGTCTCCAAATTCGAGCAATCCAACCCCGGAATCGAAGCGTACGATGTTCAATACACAACCAAAGTGAGCCAGATGAAGGAGCTTCTAATTCAAGCTCAATCGCACGCCGACAACGAGTGCAAACCCGTTCAAAACCTCTTATTCTCCGAATGCAAACTCGGCATCAACGATTTGCCTAACCACATTTACCAAGTCCCATGGGACGTGATTCTCATCGACGGGCCACGTGGGTACAGCCCCACATCGCCGGGAAGAATGTCGGCGATCTTCACCGCCGGAGTTTTGGCTAGAAGCAAATGTGGGAAACGGAATTCGAAAACCCATGTGTTCGTTCACGAAATCGGGCGGGAGGTGGAGAGGATTTACAGCGAGGAGTTTCTTTGCCGGGAAAATTTGTCGGAATCTGTGGATTCATTGGGGCATTTCGTGGTGGAGAAGACAATGCAGGGAAATGGCGCAAGATTCTGCAAGAATTCATCCTCTAGTTCATCAATTTTAAGGTAATTTAGTACAGTGTTTAGAGGATGGTGTGGATCTGTAAGTGTATGTTCATCCAAATCTGCGTATGTTTGTGTTTGGTTCCCGAGAAAGAGCGAGAAAATGTACAGATAATGGAAGGAAACTAATTCCTCTGCTTTCTTTCTACTGTTTTAACTTCGGTTTCCCCTTTCCTCTTTCCTTCTCATGGGTCAAACAATTATATTTATATTAATTTTTATTATATATTCTTTTAAGAAAAGTTACTTTTTGTTATATATATATATATATATATATATATATAACTATATCCTAAATTAAATTCTCTAATGTCACTCTTATTTAAAATTTTATAATATTTTCCGGTTCAATATCTCTTAAGATTCCGATATAAACAATAGGGTCCCACTCTCTTATTAGTAGAAGAGAAATTTGATTTATGATTGGATTATTGTTTTATTAGAAAATTAGTGATACTCAAGAAAAATGAGTTAATTATAGGGGTAAAATGGACTTTTAACCTATTTGTAATTATGAATCTAAAGTATGGACTAGATTATAATGATTATATCGCATAATAGTGGAAATGTACGTCTACATCAGAGTATAAAATGAAAATTGATTAATTAAATAATTTAATTAATTATTTTTATATATCGGAGCTTATAATATATAGGTCCATAAGATACATTTGCTAATCACCTTAAAATGTTCGAAAAAATAAAATTATATATGTTTCTTGGTTCTTAAAACATTAATGAAATATTGTAATTTTTGCATAATTTTTTAATTTAACTAAAAATAAATTTATATTAGATCTCAAGACATAACTGTAATTAAAAAAAAAAAAATGAGGAAGGGGTAAAATGGTAATTTCAGGTAAAAAGGCAGAGCTGTGCTAAAAATCCGGATCGGTAGCTGTCGGTGATGGAGAGGGAACAGTTCCCCCTTGTGTGGAGGAACATGACGTTAATTTTCTTTTTAAAAAGAATTCCATCATCTCACGCGACTCGAGGTCGACAAAACGAAACGCGCTCGGTGATTGGTTGTGGATTACACGTGGGAGTACGGAATTGGTAGTTGGGGTTCACGTGATGAGTTAGTTAGGAATAGGAATTGGAAGAATGGTACGGTAAGGAGAGAGAAAGAGAAAGGTGTCGGTGAGAGAATTAGAAAGAGTCCGTAACGGAATTCACGTTTTGTTTAAATTAATAAGGTCCACGTCAAAGTGGACCGCCCTTTTTTTTTTTCCCACTTACAATTTTTAAAATATACGTAGACTTTAAATTAAAATTTTATTAATATTTTGAAATACTTTAAACATTATAAAATTTTATTAATACCATTAAATTTATTAAAAAATACTTATAATTTTTTTTAAAATAATTAATATCATTTACGTTTATAAAAAAATAAAAATAAAAAATCTTAACGTCAATATATGAACAAAAACGGTAAATCATCTATTATCTCTGAATTTTTTTAATTAATTAATTATTATTTTTTTTTTGCAAAGTATCCACCTAACATTCCATCAATCATTCTTCATATTTTAAGAACACAATTAAAAATAACAATTAAGAAGAAAGATTTTATATTATATAATAAGTGAAAATGAAAATATAATTAAAGAAAGGCCTTATTGAATTTTATTTGGGCCGACACATTCGTTGTTTATTGTACATGAAAGGCCCAAGCCCAATATCATTCTCTATTTATCACCACTTTATGCCTTGAAATGAATCTAATTTGTTAACAAACTTTTAATTTCGTTATATAATAGAATTCTAATATATTTCTAAAAATAAATTAAATTAATTAATCTATCCAATATAAACAAAAATTTTATATTTTATAAAACTCAAAACAATTAATCTATCCAATATAAACAAAAAAAAAAAATTATAAAACTCAAAACTTTTAGATTTTAGGGTTTAGGGTCTCTAAACCCTAAACCCAATTTTATAAAATTCAAAACTTTCAATTTTTATTAAATAGATTTTAGGGTTTAGGGTCTCTAAACCCAATTTTATAAAATTCAAAACTTTCCAAAACTTTCTATTTTCATCTAGTAGATTTTAGGGTTTAGAGTCTTAAACCTTAAACCCTATTTTATAAAACTCAAAACTTTCCATTTTTATTAAGTTCATTTTAGGGTTTAGGGTGCAAATCCTAAACCCTATTTTATAAAGCTCAAAACTTTGAAGATTTTAGGGTTTAGGGTTTCTAAACCCTAAACCCAATTTTATAAAATTCAAAACTTTCCAAAACTTTATATTTTAAACCTGTGCAAATCCTAAACCCTATTTTATAAAACTCAAAACTTTGAAGAGTTTAGGATTTAGGGTCTCTAAACCCTAAACCCAATTTTATAAAATTCAAAACTTTCCAAAACTTTCTATTTTGGTCGACTAGATTTTAGGGTTTAGGGTCTTAAACCTTAAACCCTATTTTATAAAACTCAAAACTTTCCATTTTTATTAAGTCCATTTTAGGGTTTAGGGCGCAAATCCTAAACCCTATTTTATAAAACTCAAAACTTTGGAAGATTTTAGGGTTTAGGGTAAAAACTCCAAACCCACCTCTAAACCCTAAATCCTAAACCCTATTTTATAAAACTCAAAACTTTTGACTAGATTTTAGGGTTTAAGGTAAATACCTCAAACTCTAAACTTTAAACCCTAAATTCTAAATCCTATTTTATAAAACTCAAAACTTTCAATTTTTATGGAGTAGATTTTAAGGTTTAGAGTAGAAACCCTAAACCCTAAAATCTTAAACCTTAAATCCTACCCTCTATTTTATAAAACTCAAAATTTTCAATTTTTATCGCGTAGATTTTAGGGTTTAGGATCTACCGTAAACTCTAAACCCTAAATCCTAAACCCTATTTTATAAAACTCAAAACTTTCAATTTTTATTCCGTAGATTCCTGAGTTATACGAAAAAAAATTGAATACTTTAAGAACTTATCATACATAAAATTAAAATTTGAGAGATTTGAAAGACACAAAATTGAAAATTTATGTATTGATTAAATATTAAAAAAAAATCAGAGATCTATTATATACACGACTATTAAACACTTTTTTTTTTTTTTTTGAACAGATGAACATAAACCTAAAAGTTTAGAGATTAAACTCAATCTCTTAAATTTTTCATAGAGAATCTTCCCTCTAAATCTCGTTAAATTTAAGGGAAAGTTTCACAAGAACGGAGAATGAATGGGACCGGGATGAGATATTTTATTTTATTATTACATTTGAAAAATACTTGGAAACATAAAATGCAAAAAAATAAAAATAAATAAATAAAATAATAATAATAATCGAAAGGTTGCGTGCAGGAGAAGCAATAAGTAAATAGGAGATAGTGGCATTTAATACTAACTTATAAATATTTAAAATCTTTTATGTTAAATTTTATTTTAAAATTTTATCCCTATTATTTAAAATGTTACGTTTTATTTTTCTTCAAATATTCACTAATTTTCAATATTATTATTAATCAATCTTAATATTCACCCACAATAAACTTATAAAAGAAACTAAAAATGAGTTCAATTACAAAATATATATATGTATATAATATATATATATTTCTTCAAAATGATAATAATATATTATAATGTTGTTTAGACCTCAAACTTAGGTATGGATGACTTAAAATAGTGCGACTATATATGAATTTTTATTTTCATTTCGTTATTGCCATTATAAATTCCTGGATAGTTTGAGAGTTTGAGAGTATACATGGGTTGAGTAAGGTAGGGTTGAAAAAATCCTTTGAATTAATTCAAAATTTCAGGTTGGTTGGTATCGTGATCTAAACAATGCATCATATACAATATTTACGGGTCACAACGCATCACTAACATCAGTTACAAACGTTTTATATTTCTAATCTTTTTTAAAAGTAGGATTAGGTTGAGCGTAACCCTATTTTCAGTTGACCCGATAAAAACCGAACCCAATTTTCAGTTTTCAAAAAAAAAAAACATCTCAACGGAAACTGAAAAAAAAATTAATTCAATCCAACTTTTATGGTTTCAATTGGGTAGTTGGGAGTTTAAAAAAAAAAAAACAAAAAATTTATGGGAAGTTTTTATAATTTAGCAAAAGAAGAAAAGAAACAATCATTGTCATAGGGGCTCACCTCATGGGTTAAGTAACATGGCATGGTTTTGCATATTAATTTCTTGGTTCCTACTTTGGCTTACAACTCCAACATTCATTATATTTGATATCTACTATGATAGATCTTTTATTAAAACAAAAACCATTGCATACATTTATGTTCATCTACCCAATCTTCAATGTTGGCACAAACACAATCAATGGTCATTACTAATATAGAAGAAAATAATGATCGAAGATGCCAGCGCGCGAACATACTCACCCGGTTAAAGAAAATATCATCACTAAAAAGTTCAAATCTCCATCTTTACATGTCGCTGAACTTCAAAAATTATCGTTATGATTGGCTAACATTATTACGTTGTTCAATATTCAAATTTTGTTTTTGAGCATTCAGACCTCTCATATGTATCATAATATTAGCTCAACTAGTTGAGATGTGTTTAAATTTATCAGTTTTTTGAGTATATTGCAAATACTAGAAGTGGAAATTCAAAGTTATAACGATTGAGATAATGGGTTCAACTCAAACGAAGTACATGCTCGAGTTCTGTTATTATAACTCAACTAGTCGAGCTAAGTTTAAAATTATAATTTTTCACTAAACTTATGAGAATATAGCAAATCTGAGAAGTGAAGATTCAAACTTATAGCAGTAGAGATAATGGGTATAACTCGAGCAACGTATATACTCGAGTTTTGCTATTATAATATTTAAATTAAAATTTATGGGTTTTCAGTGAAATTCCAAGTATATTACAGACATGAAAATTGAGAACTCAGATAAGGGATACAACTCAAGCTCGAGCTAAGTATAAGCTCGAGTTTTGCTATTATAATATTAACTTAACTAGTTGAGCTAAATTTAAATTTATGGATTTTCAGTGAGATTTCAAGTATACTACAAACATGAAAATTGAGAATTTAGGGAAACTAAGTATAAGCTCAGATTTTGCTATTATAATATTAACTTAACTAGTTGAGTTAAATTTAAATTTACGGATTTTCAGTGAGATTTCGAGTATATTACAGACATGAAAAGCGAGAATTCAAAGTAATAACGGTCGATATAATAGATACAACTCGAGCTCGAGCTAAGTACATACTCGAGTTTTGGTATTATACATTGGGGTTTAATACAAATGACAGTTACTATTACATTCAAATCTTTATTGATCTCTTTAGACCCACAAACAATGAAACACACAAAGGGAAGAAGAAAAGTAACATTTCCGACCAAACCACAATAAATGCAATTTAATGCGGGACAAGAGCCCCGTAAGTTCTCATCTCCGTCGCCTTCCTCGCCGGCCGACGGAGCGCGGCGGCCGGATCTTCATTCAAGTACCAAACCCCTTTACAAGGAATGTACTTCATTGACTTCTCATCAGGGCAGTACTGAACATGGCTGAAGAAATGGGTACATTGCTCCTTAGATTTCTGGTCCGGCAGCCCGAGAATGCAGTTCCCCGAAACGTCGAGAATCTTTTTTACGATCAAGCTCCGGCAGACGGGGCCGACTTGGGTGAAGTAGTTGTTGCGAAGGGTGAAGTTTTGGAGGTGGGGTAACTGGCAGACCATCTCCGGAATGGCGCCGTAGAGGCGGTTGTCGGCGAAGTTGAGAAGCTCCATTTTGGCTAAGCAGCCGAAGGAGTAGGGGATTGGGCCGGTGAGGGTGTTCTTGCTTGCGTCGAAGAGAATTGTGTTCTCTAAAACCCCGATCTCCATCGGTAAGCACCCGGAGAGCTTGTTGTCGGAGAAGAGAACCTCGATTAGGGTTTTCTTTGTCTTTCCGATTCCGATGCTTTTTGGGATTGGCCCGCAAAACTCGTTGCTCGTAAAAGTGAGGTAACTTTTGAAAAGAAAAAAAATATATATTTAGTTCTGGGATGTGACCCTCGATCGAAATATGTCGAAACAAGTAGAAGAAAAATTTGAGGGGAGAAATCTTTTAGAGCCGAGAAACCTTAATCACTTAACATACATTTGATGAGTATTTATAGCGGAGAAAACACTAACTAGCTTCCTAAACTTTCTACTCAAGTTAATAACCACTAACAACGTTACGGATGAAAGCACAAAACTCAGTTACTAATCATAACATGTTATCAAAGTCATGCCCTTAGACTAGCTCTGTCAATAAAATCCTCGAATGTCATATTAAAGCACGGACAAGCTTCTTAAATTTTCTAACCATCTTCACGAAATTTAGTTCCGGGTTACTAACATGTATTAAAGCAATGCCCTTAAACTAGTCGTGTCAATAGAATCTAGAAATATCGTATTAAAAAAAAAAATTAATGAGACCGGGCGACATACCGAGCAGGGGTGTTGCCGAGGTTGGGCGGAATGAAATGGTTAAACTTGTTGTTGTTAAGGAAGATGGCGGCGATAATGTCCATATCGAAGAGCTTGGGGGGGACGGGACCGGAGAAGTCGTTGAACCGGATATCCAAGAAGGTGAGATTGGCGGCGTCAAGGACTTGGTTAGGGAAGGCGCCGGAGAATTTGTTGTTGCTGAGATCGAGCTCGTAGAAGTATCGGAGATCGGAGATGAGTTCGGGGACGGTGCCGGAGAAGTTGTTGGAGTTTGCATGGAAGAAAGTAATGTCGGGCAAACGGTCGATGAAGCCATTGAGAATCAGGTTAGAACCACCGAATCCGAAGTTGTTAAAGCTAACTCCGGCCAAGGCGGTGGTTTTGTAATTGGGGACTTTGTCGCAGATGAATCCTTTGTATTTACAAACGTCTTTTCCAACCCATGAATTTGTTATGTTCAATGGGTCATCTTCAATTCTGGGTTTGAAATCTTTTATGGTTTGGTAAGCAATTTTGATTCTTGGGCTTATGGATGGCGGCGGCGGCGACGGTCGGGGCGGTGGGCGGATTTTTTTTTTAGGTGGCGGAGGTGGGTGCACTTTTGGTTTGGGTGGTGGCGGAGGCGGCGGCGGCGGTGGGTGGACTTTTGGTTTAGGTGGTGGTGGTGATGGAGTGGCACAGTAAGGTTTTTGAGGCGGAGGCGGAGGTGGTGGAGGTGGAGGAGGAGGCGGAGGCGGAGGCGGAGGTGGTGGAGGTGGAGGTGGAGGCGGAGGAGGAGGAGGAGGAGGATATTCTGGAGGCGGAGGAGGAGTATGCCAGGGGAAGAAAAAGAAAGTGAGGGGATGTTTTACTTGAGGATCGGCAGTAGGCGGCGGAACGTGTAGGGCAATCGCCGCCGTGGAGAAGATGGAAAAAAGGAAGAGAAGGGGAAGAGGAGAGGGCTTGGCCATGTTCCCCTCTTTGGCATACAATTTATTTTCGGATGTCATGGAAATTATATAGACAAAAATAATAAATAAAAGAAAAAATAGAGTAAAAGCATTAAAATTATTTGTTGAAAAGTCAAATTTATGAATAATAAATGAAATATAGAAAAAAAAAATTCTACAATGTTCTAATTAGTAATTTACTTGTATTTTTTGTTTTTGATTTTGAATCTAATTTATTTTTTAAATAATTTTTTTTTACCATTAATATATGGACCAACTGAACTAAGCAATATTAATATTTTCAAATTTAAAATATTATTAAAAAAAATTAAAATTTTACGAGTGTTTTTAAATAAAAATTGATATATTTTTATGAATTTAGCCAATTTTTCTTTGGTAATTGTTATATTATTTAACTCCCTAATATGACACTAAAATGTTCGAGAATAATTTTACTTAATATATATAAACTATTTATGTGGCATGAATGAGATGGGATAAGATATTAAAACATATCATATCATATTCCCATTTATTGCTTTTACCAACCATGGCCATCCATTTTCATGGCTTTTATAATTTCTATTTTTAAAAATTAAATAAATACAATAATGTAGCGAAATATTTGGCCTATATGAAATTTTTCGTTTATTTTTATAGAAATTGGAGCGGAGACTGAATTTTCTGTGAAGAATTTATTTTCGTATATTATTCTTTGAAAAAATATCATTTTAAAGAAAATTTTAAATGTATAATTTTTTTTAATATAAAATAGTAATTAGTGTTATAAATGGAGTGAACCATCTTGTTAAATTATTATTGGTTGATAATATGATTTTCAATTTTAAGAAAAGTATTCCAAAAAAAAAATATAATTTTTTTTAAATTAATAGTTTAAATTAAGGCCATGAATAATTGAATACCATCTCTATGACACTGACACTTTGTGGATCTTGGAAGAGAAGACTTTGAAATACCTTTTTTCTTATTTGCATTTGACATAAACCAAAGTCATCTATTAAAATAAATATGTCTAATGTGTCGGAAATGAAATGGCAGGTATAGCTCAATTGGTAGAGAAGAGGGCAGAAAGTTTTTGTGTCACCGGTTCAAATTTGCTATTGAAAATATGTCTAATGTGTCGAAAATGGCTAGTATCGCTCAATTGGTAGAGTAGAGGACTAAAAACCTTCGTGTCACCGGTCTGTATATACGAACTTGGAAATAGAATTTAAACCGTCTCATTTTAGGATGAGGACTTGATAGATGATTTCCGTCTCCTCGTCTCCAACCCTATTTATCTAATGGGGAGAAATTCTCTTTGTTCACTCTCTATCTCATTCTCCATCTAAACGAAGAATCTCCGCTCGAGATCAGGTCATCACGGGACTTCGACCTTACAAATTAAATATACATCTCTAAGTTTTATACGCTTTTATAATAAAATAAAATGTTTTTAGTAATTACAATTATTTAAAAGACATTAATATTTGAAAATTATTCTGAAATATACGATAGAATTTGGAATTGAAGAGAATAAAAAGTAAACACATACATATAAAATCAATTGGGGACAAGAGCGGCATAAGTTCTCATCTCCGTCATCTTCCTCGGCGGCGGAAGTGGGCCGGCGGTGGGATCGCCGTACAAGTATTTATTCGCCGTACAAGGAATATACTTCATGGACTTCTCATCGGAACACGAATGAACCTTACTGAAGAAATAAGAACATTCCTTCTCCGATCTCTGTCCCGGCAGCCCCAAAATGCAGTTTCCAGAGACATCGAGGATTTTCCTTCCGATCAAGCTCCGGCAAACGGGGCCGACTTGGGTCAAGAAGTTGTTGTAAAGGGTGAAGTTTTGGAGGTTCGGTAACTTGCAGACCGCCTCCGGAACAGTGCCGTATAGGCGGTTGTTGGCGAAGTTGAGAACCTCCATTTTGGCCAAGCAGGCAAAGGAGTATGGGATCGGGCCGGTGAGGGTGTTCTTGCTCGCGTCGAAGAGAATGGTGTTTTCTAATTGCCCGATCTCCATCGGTAAGCAGCCGGAGAGCTTGTTGTCGGAGAAGAGGACCTCGATTAGGGTTTTCCTTGTCTTTCCGGTTCCGATGCTTCTTGGGATTTCGCCGGTGAACTCGTTGCTCGTGAACGTCAGGTACCTTCGGGCAAAAAAAAAAAAAAAGTTACTTTCCAAATACCCAATTTTTGTAGTGGAAGCTGAAATAAGATTTATAGCACTTACGCAGCCACAAATAGAAATTAAACAAAGAGGCATAAAGATTTACGTGGTGGTACCCAATTACTATAACTTAAGTGTATTTCTCACCGTTTCACCCTTTAAAGTCTCTCTTACCAAATTCCTCTCAATTGTCTCTAGACAAATACAAAATGACAATGATTCTCCACCTCAAAACAATGCTAGACAAGTGTTTATACAGATATAACAATCAAAGCAATATTACTGCTCATATATGAATTAAGATGATTCATAAACTAAGTAAACCGAAATTATGAACAAAATAAATGAGAGTTATGAACTAAAATAAATGACAATACATGCGTCGTATATGTACGATCCTATTCTTCATGACAACTTACATCAGTCAGATAAACCATTCTCGTCCAATAATTAAAAATGAAAAAAAGCGAAAAGTTCGAGGTAATATGGTACCGAGCAGGCGTGTTGCCGAGGTTAGCCGGGATGCTCTGATTAAACTTATTATTGTTGAGGAAGATGGCCGCGATAATGTCCATATCAAAGAGCCTTGGATTGACCGGACCGCAATAGTAATTAAATCGGAGGTCCAAAAACGTGAGATTGACGGCGCCGAGGACTTCATCAGGGAACGACCCCTTAAATTTATTGTTGCTAAGATCGAGCTCGTACAAGAACTTGACCATGGCAATGAGTTTGGGTATGGTGCCAAAGAAAAAGTTGGAATTGGCATGGAAGTATGCGATGTCCGACAACTTGTCGGCCAGCCCATCGAGGGTGAGCTTAGAGCCACTAAAGTTGAAATTATTGAAGCTAAGCCCCGACACCGCCCTCTTGTTTTCAGCATCCGGATATTTGTCGCACCTAAATCCTTTGTAGCTGCAAACATCGGTCCCATTCCATGTAGCTATGACATTCAATGGGTCGTTCTCGATTCTACTTTTGTAGTTTTGAATCACTCTATAAGCAATTTCGATTCTCTTGCTCTCGAATCTTAGTGTCGGTAGCTTTGCTGGACTTCGTTTCGGTGAACGATGTTTCGGAGAGGTCGCTGGTGCTGGCTTCGATGGTAATGGCGGAGGTGGAGATGGAGGCCGTGGTGGAGGAGGAGAAGGAGGAGGAGGAGAAGTGTTACAATCGGGAGATGTCGATGGCGGAGGAGAGTTGCTGCCACCGCCAATGCCGATGCCGATGCCGATGTCGAGGGCGAGGGCGGAAAAGGAAGAGAAGAGGAGGAGATTAAAGATGGATAAAGAAGCAAAAGCAGAGATTTTGGCCATTTTGGTGTCTTTTCTTTATTTACTTTTTCTTGCATGAAGAAATTATATAGAATGAGAAACATGCAAGAAGACAATAAGAACTTTACTGAAAAGTCAAACTTATAGGGTATTTGCATTCACGTGAAAGACTATGAAACTTATATAGGTAGTAGCGACTCTAGGTCAGTAGAAAATTAGGGTCGTTACACTGCCAATATTTTCATGTCTCGAGGCTGAGAAGAACGAAATGAAGTTTGTAAGAGGTTGAACGAGACAAAATGAACATACAGATCGAAGAGAATTGAACAGATACGAGAGTTTCAAATTTAAAATCGTTTAGGGTTTATGGGTTCAATTCAATTCAAATACATAAATGATATTAACGGATCGGGGTCGAGATCGAGACATGTGTGAAATTAAAAAGTAAGTTTAAAATTGAGATTAGAATGTAATTAGGAAGAGGTTAATAATTAGCAAAACCAATTGGTAAGAAACTCACGGGACCGACAAAGCATGTCACTCAGCGCTGCCCATTGCCATGTGAGTTGCCTGTCCCACTCTCGACGTTGGTGCGCTTTGACATGACAACCAAATTTTGGTTGATTCACAAATTCCGCTCACTCCACCACTCATGCTTTTAACCAAAAAAAAAAAAAAAAAAAAAAAAAAAAAAAAAAAAAAAAAAAAAAAAAAAAAAAA